TATATATATATATACTTTATATGAACTCAGCACACCCAAATGTGCAGTCCATGAGTCCAGTTTGTCGCGGTTTGGACAAATAATGAATAGACCACTTTTACTAGAAATTTAAATTCCTCACGCGAGACCGGCTGATCGTTAAGACAAGGACATGAAAATCATAGATGGTAATTGCATGGAAGGCAAGTTTTCATCTTGATTGGGTCAAGCGAATAATGTTCGGTCTCAAGCTCTCCAGTTTACCCCAGAATTGACCAATCTGTCTTCCCGATATCGCCTTCCACCCGTTCACTTCTGAGTAGCAAGCATATCCTACTTGAGAATCATAACAAGTGTCTATCAAAGATTTGTCGATTGGAATACGGTATCGTGGAAGCGCCCACCGCTGCAAGTAACTACCTGTGCAGGATGACGGCCATACCTTGACACACCATCTCGAGCTGAAAGAAAAGGTTGTAACCGAGAGTCTTCGGTAAGCCCATCGATTGACCAGATAGATGGTAATGTTCTATCTGTTTAATGGCCACGGTGGTAGCTATAGTATAAATCTTTTGCGTTTGAGGTATAAGAAATCAACATGGAGAGAGTGGACCCTGACGTGAGGTGACGAAATGTGAATCTCCACAGCCATACTGAGAAATGTTCGTGCCACTCACACGATCCCTCATGCCAGATTGTTCAACGCATAGAGGTGTGAATAACACACCTTTCTGGTCTTCCAATTTGGGACAACTTGCTCTGACAGTTGCTTGCTAGTTTGTTCGCCGAGCTTGACAGTTGGATTGCAGACGTTTCATCACCAGTCAAGTCCACATCGTTAAACAGGAGATATGTGGGTACATTGATCCTCTTTTCCGTGTGCCTATATGGTTTCATTGCGGTCTCATTTCCCTGTATCCATATGAACGCCTCAATGACAGTTCCGTTCTCCACTGTACTGGACCGTTTCATTCTTGCCTCGTGGTCTGGTTTTGCTCCACTGAATAGGTTGACTGGTATATGAGTTTCGCGCCAACCAAAACTGCATTTCGGTTAGGATTTTGGTACAATGGCTTTGATTGAGGACCCTAATCGACTTCCTGTCCATCTCTGGGTACCCTGGAAGTATCACAACTCCCATACAAAACACCACTGTTCTTATCTGGTGTTGCTGTCATTGATGGATGATGACAATGTAAGAAGACAGAATAGACCTGTAATGAAATTCAAAAGTTCTGTGATCAAGGACCACTTTTATGAGGAAATAGATGCTCATAATTGTTTATTGGTGTCAACATTGAATCACTTGTGTTAATATCCCTCCGTCGTAAAATGCGAGTTCAGTGCATCCAGTCCTTACGTAGACCGACCAGAATAATCCAGTCGGGCGGAGGTTCTTCCAAATGGCAGGGGTCTGGATACGAATCAAACAACTCCAGCAACTATTCACAACAAAAACTGCTATCCACTTATTGAAGACCACAAAAAATTTCTCCACTTTTCCCGATTCGTTCTTTGTTAAATCTGTTCAGAATCTCTCCTTAATGAACTTTCTGCTTGTTACCAGGACACTGACCCAATTATATCATAAAGCGATCAGTGATCTGCTAGTACGTCAAGACAACTGAATGATAATCAGTGTCCCAGTATAGTTCACCATTCTGTTTGTATGTAGAGTGATTGGTTGAACCGATAGTTGCACTCAAAAGGCTAGGTAGTACTGTTTCTACTAAGGGTACAAAGTCATGCTGCATTATTTACCAGTTTCCATATAGCAACCATCATTATGTTGAAAACCAACCCATAACATATGTATAACGGCAACAAATTTAGTCATGCAGAGGTTTCTTTCTGGATTCAATCAAATCGACTGTTGGTGGTGGTTGAGGGATTTTGTAGAATGCAAGAGGACCGTATGCCTCTCCGGACTCTTTTCGCCCAGCCCTGTGCAGAGGGAAAGCTACCGAAAAGCGGACAGTATGTATGAAGTGGTAACGAAGTATAAGAACTTATTCGGGTCGGCAACTGCCACCTTCATGGATGGAGACCCCAGGACTCAACTCACTAATGGGTAATGACAGGCAGAAATGGCATGGTCAATGGCACTCGTGCATCAAAGCCATCGCCTTCAATGCGTAGGTCTCCAGCTCTGAACCAACCGCACATGTCATCACCTCCAAGGCCTGACTGTGTGTCCCACACCCTCCCACTTTCCGTAATCGCAACTGTAGCAGCTCGAACGGATATCCCCATGGTAGACGGTCCATAGGTGATAAATTGAACTGAATTGGAAGGCAAGCTTTGTATCGCCTGGGGAATGAAGCACCCACATCGAAGTTTGCTAGCCAAACGAACTACTTGCGCTATCTAAAGTAATATGTCCGCATTCGACAGTGTCACGAACACGTCAGTACCTGACTGTGATGTTAGCCATATCTATCCAGTGACTAGGCGCAAATATCGGACAAGTATTCGTTCAACCTTTTACGGCAAAAAAAACTGCTGAGATGCACAACTGGTCCAAATTAAATTGGCTAATGGGATGACTCGTCTCTGGCGTTGCCCCTTCTGGGTGTTCAGGTCCAGCTCGTTGCATAAAACTCACAGTTCTAGACACCGCCTTATTGTGCACACGATTTACCTGCCTCATAGTCGTGTTATCACCTAAAGACAGCCGCTGTTGGAACAAATATTGCAGTGGTGTAGGTGTGCCTCACGGAGCAGCGCTGTCGGATTTGGAAAAGTCCTGTGCCTAGTGCAAAGCTAGGCCCCATAGCGGAAATGTACGCCTGGTGTGTTAGTGTTAACGCAAATCAGTCAACAGAACAATGTGTCAATAAACGCCCAGCTTATCTTCATGAAGATATAGCAATAGCATGCACACTAATTACGTGCAAGAGGAACTAGGTATTTCACGACGCACATTCCCAAAACGGTTTCTAAGCAAGGCTAGGCAACTTACAAAGCAGGGAACTGAACAAAGCTCAGGTGGGAAAAAGCAAGCTTACAGAAAACTTCCACGAAAAGTCAACTCAGTCACTAAGCTACTCTCCAGCAGGCTGACACCTCGTTTGTGCATCCTGCATAGTCACCACTCTGCTTTTCAGTTGCGCCAGGCCCCATTTGAAAGGAAAACTGTCCAGCCCAGCCCTAACACATCTCGCATGAACTCATTTGTATTCTCGTGTCGAGCACCACACCTCGGTTGCACGACAAAGGGTTTATTGGATCAAATATACAGACACGATCCCATATACCTGAGTGAGAGTCGGAAGCCTTATGTGAAAGCAATAACCTAACATATGGCCCCAAACGAGTCACGTTGTTGATCACATAGGTAATTGGAATTCGACTGCTTCACCTGCAACCCGGTATCCAAAACAAACTTGTGCGACCCTTGAGCTTGGCCGGGTCCAAAATCTAATAACATAAACACCTCTGCCATTGACGTCACCCAACTGACTCCATGACCCGTGCCCCTTCATCACTCTCACTTAACCAATGTGCATCCAAGAATTTCATTTAACCTTTGCAAGTGATTTCTGAATAGCATCATATTATTTTGTGATGGACCGAACGCAGAAAACCTTTGTTCGCTACCTTCGCTGTGCTCATCACTTCCAATTCAATCGCTCGAAACTACCCCCATAGTTTAGTCTCGATCATGATCACGTCAGGAATCCAGAGGTGGAGCTTCTAAAACAGGGATTTGACGCACTTGCGGGTGAACAGGCTATTTCAAAAGCACAACAATGAGCCAAAGCCCGATTGGTAGTGTAGTATTGACTAGGATACTGATTGTCGCTCCCATATCGGTACTGTAATCGTCCGTAGAACAAATGTTTGTGAAACTGGAATACGGCAATACTCATCGTGAAAAGTGGCTGTGCAAAATAGCGATAAATGCACCAGAACTCGTGCAGTCACATCTGACAGGCATTGTTATGTTTGAATGTGAGTGAGAGGAAAACCGGTTGCCACAGTGAGCGGGGGTGACCAGGTGGATGGAATCGGTATGTACAAAATAGCATTCATTCTGTATAATACAGAGCGCACACGAACAAGAGAAGAAAGTCGAGGTAGCAGGCGAGAAATGCTGCTACTGGAGGCGTTGCCTAATTAAAGGCGGATAAAAATACAACACAACAGAACGTTGGAATCGACCCAGCTGTCGCATGTGCTAAGAAACAGGGCAAACTGTGTGATAACAGTGGACGCACCGGCGGTCACGGCATAATGGATAATGAACAAAAGCGCGCGAACGGCGGGACTATAACAATACAAATGGAAACGCAGTTCGATAGAAAATGCGCTGTTCGTGTGCAGATTGTTCCACAGTTGCTTGTGTGGTGCGTAGATGATCGTTTCCGCTGAACGTGTGATGGCCAAGTTACATTCCGATCACTCAGTCTTCGTCAAACCCAGGGAAGTTACACCAGGAAAGTGGCTGGAAATGAGGAAAAGGGTGAAAGTGTGACCTAAAAGAAGACAAATTGGACCAACAGCTACCTACAAAACTGACGTGGCAATTGAAATGAAGACCGCGTTTATTCTGTTTTGGACGAAAATCAGAGCATACAATAAGTGTATCCATGTTCAAATGATCTTTTGACAGTAAAATGGGCTAAATGATGAGACTCACCTGGGATTCAATCCGGAAGCAACGAGAGAAGCCGCAGCAGCCAGACTGGCGTTCAAATTGAGGCTATCAAAGCCGGGGTTAGATACGCTCCCACTCGTAACTGCAGCTGGCGACCCAGCCGTTTGCCCACCAATACTGGTGGTAGCGGTCGTTGTGCTGTTGCCGCCAGATGTAGAGTTCGTGGAAATACTGGGTGTCGTAGCAGAAGCAGTGCAAATGCCACCAGCTGATCCCGAAACTCCTGACAGCGATGGAGGATGCGGTGGAAGACCCAAACCAGCCACACCAGCTGGTGAAAAGTTCGCATATGCAGATACCGGAGGAAGTCCGCCAAGCTGAGCGAGATGAGCTAAGTGAGCAGCTGCAGCAGCAGCGGCTGCATTTGGAGGAGGTGGTAGGGAGGGGAGTGATGTCAGTCCACCGCTGTTAGTCAGAATGCCACCACTGCATACAGATGGAGCAGAAAGGCTCGTTCCGGCGCCCCCACCAATCAAATTAGCAGGGAACGGCAAATTTGCTCCCCCAAGACCCAGACCAGCTCCACCAACGCCGGAAGAAAAAAGGCCAGCAGGAAGACCAAATGCCGCAGCTGCAGCTGCAGGATGAAGTCCACGTGCAGCACCTGACAAACCTGACGTCATGCTACTATTCAACACGTTGACGCCGGGAAGGCCTGCGGCAAGTGACAGATGAGTGTTGTTGGCAAGTAAACTGTTACCTAGGCTGTTTGATATCGAGTTGCTTCCGAGACCATGGGACGACAATGAGCCACTGCCACAAGAAAGAAATTCCTTGTTGACACAATTTCGAAGACAGTCTGGAATGCGGCTAAGAATAGCACGTCTGATCTCATTGGCGGCAGCCTCACGCATCTCCCGCATACTAGATTCACTGTAGAAAGCCATGTGAGGAGTCACAATCAAATTGGGCGCATCTTTTAGAGGACCTGGAGGAAGTGAGAATACAGTTGTGGCGTTTGTGCACTATTATGTGGATATGCAGACGTTATCACCATCATCGACAAGCTAAAAGCATAAAATGACTTGCCCAAACTGCTTAGATCACTACAGGTCAAACAAGAAAAACGTATGAAAAAAGTTGCGGGGGCGATATGGCTCATTTGTTAGAGTGCGATTTTACTAACCGGAAGGTCCGTGGTTCGAAACCGACCTCTGCATCTCGACTTCCCCTGTTTAGACTCAGGTAACTTGGCAGTATTCTGAACCTCATGCTTTCTTCCGGTGGCATGGCAGCTAGGTGCTGCAGCCGAACGATAAAAAAAGTGGCCTTCGGGCTATTTGTGCGCTTTCTGCCGAGATATCTTCAACTGGTGACGCAAGGTTTACAAGCCAACTGCCAGCTGGTAGACGACGAGCAAAACTCCTTTTAGCTTTGCTATTCTAGTCCACAGAAGACACGAAGGCACAAGCAACTTCCTCTAACTTGCAATATTTGTGGCGCCAAAGAGAAATGGCGCCAGAGGAGTTTGCGTAGCGGTTGCCCCGAATACAATGTGCCCATTGTGGGACCGAAATCCGAAGTCCACATGGTGAAACATGTATTTCAGAGAGGCGGTAATCCAACATACGCGCAACTCACAAACCATCGGATCATGAAGTATCCCCAGAGTTTTCGATTAGAGGCGGCCAGCGCTAACATTTTAACTTCACAGAAAACAATTTATACAATCAATTCAACAGATTCTGGTACTAGACGAAAGTAATGTCGCCCAGAGCAAACTATGAATGAAAAGTCACAACAAACGTGTAGAGGTAACCCGGAGAACTTCATACTAATGAGCGTGAACTCACAAGCAAACGTTGCAGTAACACGCTTAAACAGTAGGTTTCTAGTAAACTCGGAGTGGACTACCACTACGGTTATTCGTAAGCCAAAATGTCTTGAATAATTGGTCGCTCGTACCTCGGTACGCAACTTACTATTGTTCCAGACAAATGGTTCAGTTTCAGTGACGTCCAAAGCTGCCGCACGGATTCTTCCCTCTTTAAGAGCCGCGGCCAAAGCGATTTCGTCAATCAGCGGACCCCGAGCAGTGTTGATGAGGAAGGCACCTAAAAAACACCAGTAGAACCAAGTATGATTGGGCGGCAAAAAAACAGACAACAGTACTTCTATACCTTGGTGGAGTGGTGTGCGGCGAGGTGATAGGGTGGCTGTACGCAGCTCAGAGCTCATGGTGAAATGCATATCGGTGTCTTTCACGGAAACTGCGCAACAAGCTTCACGCAACCCCAACCAACAGGCACACATCAATGCATTCTCATTGTATAATAATAATACCAGTAACAATATATGAAGGTTGCTTACTAAGAATGGTATCAACCGAGCTACAAGCATTTGCACAGATTGCCCAAAAATGGAAATTTCGGAAGAAACATTTTACATAATTGCCCAGTGGGATCACTGAGTAGCTCGGATACCATTTCCAGTGCACACAATACATAATAATAATAATAGTTCAGCTGTAACACCCTTTCGATGCCTAGATGCCGTGCCACCCGAAGGAAGCACACAAAGAAAGTTTCTGTGGTGATCACCCTCAAAGTCGGTGATATATTAGCCAACAGTCCTGCAGCGTATGCATTTGTATTTTAAACGTATAATTCCAGTTTTCAGTGTGAAAAGTAGTCGAGTTTAAAGACGATAGGCCGCTGAAGATAGCATTGTTTGTAACAACCAACCTGGTCTCATAAGTTTGATTGTGTTTTCGTTGATCATGTGGCGGTTTTGTTCGTTCAGCGAACAGTGAAGGGTCACACAATCGCTTTGGAAAAGCAGATCTTGTAAACTGTAAACCCGTTCGATCCCGAGTGAGCGTTCAATGCCATCTGGTAGGTACGGGTCATAGAAAATAATATGGAAGCCAAAGGCCTGAGCACGCAAAGCCACCGCAGTTCCAACGCGACCTGTAAGATAGGTGAAAAAGTAAAACAATAGATATTTGTAGACAAATGTATGTAATTATGCTTTGGAATTATACCTGTATGTATGGTGCAATTATCCACCATACGCACACAAAGTGTTGGTCTAAGAGGTTGATCTGGAAACCCTGGTAGCTCAGCTGGTCTCTAACACAACAAAATAAGGCATAAATATTGAGACCTATAATTCAGTGGAGATACCCCATTCATTCCATCTCGCATTTAAGTCATGTACCCGGAAGCCTCAGACCATCTAAAACAGTCGGTTCAATCATCATTTAACTGAGTATCCACAACAGTGAGTCTACCAAACCACATCAGTAGGTAACTCAAGTACAAGGATGACTGGTTTGTCAACAAGGCTAAGATGTTAGACATGTTATCTATGGCTCCAAAAACTCACCTAGGAAAGGAAGCTGGTTATTGTCTTGTAACAGTAGCCATAATATAATATGACGAAAGTCCGCTGGTGATGTAACGGTAGTAGTAGCAGTCACCAGAAAGAGCAACATCACTGCCGTAAAACAACAAAGGCTGTTCAGATCATCATCATGCTTAAATCCTTAAGTGACCAAAAGCTAGAAGACTGGGTGAGGGAGCGAACTAGTGTCGACCGCAAGCATTGTGATTGTCCTACATCTCCAAACACCCAATCAGACAATCTAGAAACTAACAGCACGCACACCACTCCTTGCGATGTCTTCAACCAGTATTGCCACCAGGACATCATCCCGGAAGGCGGGTCGCACCAAATCCCTTCAGTAATCCCTGTCACACTCTTATTTCAGGTCACAGATTGTCCATCTTGAGGTGTCTGTCGTTCTGAAGGAAACAAGAACAGTACTGGCCCGGATGACACTACGTAGGCATGGATATCAGACCGAACGGTGGCACTACTTAAATCTCGAAGAAATATCCCAGCCGGTCCCGAACATAACCCGGTGCGAAGAGCTATCAGACGTCAAGTGAAAGTGAGCTTGCGATCCGATCGTGAAGTATGGTGGACACAAAAAGCAAAAGAAGTGGAAGAGGCCCAGAAAGCCGGTAATGCCCGGAGATTATTTCAGTTGATCCGTGCGACCGGTCCCCGGAAACCACCTGTGAGTGAAACTATCAAACACCAGAATGGAACGACCATCTCGAACAAAGAACGCCTCGACCGATGGGCTGAATACTTCGAACAACAACTGTCGTGGCCACCAGCCGGCACTCATCTAGAGCCCACAGGTGAAGTAGAACCCTGGACGGTGAACGTGGAACCACCTACGGCCTCGGAGGATTACGACTGCATATGTCCTCTCAAGCGCCACCGAGCTCCCGGTCCGGATGACCCACCCACACTGTTCAAAGAAGGGGGTGAAGTCCTCAGCCAGCGCTTGTCCGATCTGTTTGCTTGCATTTGGGAAAAGGAGTCTATCCCAGACAAGTAGGATAGGCGCATTCGACTCGGTTGATCGGTCTGTTCTTCTTGAGACGCTTGCCCACCAAGGAATGCCTCGGAAGTTTGTAAATATAATACGTTCTTTGTATTCTCAGACTTCCGGACGTGTGAGAGTGTACGGAGAGCTCTCCGAAAGCTTCCGCACAAAAAGCGGTGTCCGTCAGGGATGCCCACTCTCTCCATTCCTTTTTAACTTTGTGATCGATGAAATAATGAGACGAACGCTGGAGGGTCTCTAAAACCCTGGTGTTCAAATAACCTGCGGAGAAAACCTTGTCGATCTGGAATATGCAGACGACATCGTTCTCATGTTCGAAGAGGCGGAGAAGGCGCAAGTATTCTTGGATGAATTGACCAAAGTCATCTCGTCCTTTGGTATGCACTTTGCACCTACAAAGTGTAAGGTCATGCTTGTGGATGTGCAGTCACTGAACACGCCCCTTACAATCCAGGGAGAGGTACTGGAAGTTGTGGAGCGTTTTACGTATCTTGGAAGTTGTATTAGTTCTGATTGTAGTGTG